CCGATCACCTTAGCGGTTTCAGCTAAGGAAATTAGTTTCCCAAATAAGCCTAGGTAGGGTAGTAGCACCTGGGTGGCTAGGATGATTACCTCCTGAAAAAAATCAAAAAAAATTACATTACAACTTGAGCTATCTGATTCCATGTAGTAGCAGAGATAGCGAAAGATAATAAGAGCTTTCGTGAGGTACCCATGATCTTGATGTAGCAACGGTACTCCCACTCTTTTGTAAAAGGGTAATCTTTCGGGGTCGGTGGCATGGTATATTCTGCCACCGACCCCGAAAGATTACCCTTTTACAAAAGAGTGGGAGTACCTTTTACGAAAGATCTGCCAATATCCCAAACGACTTATGACAGGTCAATCGTGGTTCTCTCTCTTTCTCTCTCTCTTTCTTTCTCTTTCTCTTTCTCTTCCTCCTTCTCTTTCTCCATCTCTCTCTTTCTCTTTCTTTTTATTCCTCTCTCTCTAGGCTCTCTCACGGATCTCCTTCACCGAGCGTCTACTTTTACTGAAGGGTGCCATACCGATTGGTAAGGCCGTGAACTTGACGCAAGTGGGTTTATGAAAAACCCCATATTTTTTGTGTATACTAAGGTTGTCTACTTGGCATGCATGTGTAATGCTTTGATGTGTGTAAGGTTAGGGTCGGTATATCATCTGGGTGAAATGCTTGCATTCGAGGGACTCGAAAGGTATCCTAGCTTATCTTAACTAAACTAATCTCCAGACTACCCACATGGCTATCCATATGCTAAAACTGTGATATAAATGGGAATTGTTCCCCCGAATCGATGTATTGCCAATCTGACGGGGTGGGTAAGGTTGCTCGGGAAGAGCTGCTAGAATCTCAAGACTGTAATAGGCCGCCATAGAGAGAAGGATCAGAGTGGCGATTTGTACTATGTACATGGGACAAAAACCTATGTCGATGATATGATGATGCAGGAAGATTCCGTATGATGTCGTCGGAATGACTGATACGACGGAACGTTGCTCACTACACGTTGTTTTCAAAATTGGAGAACAAATATTGTCTGGAACAGGCAGCAACAGAAGCCCTTTCGGTGTGACTGTCCTCACAGCTCGTACATGGCCACTTAGCTTGGGTGATAGAAAAGTGAGGCAATCGGGCAAAGGCAAAGTCGGGAATTCACGCTTGGAAGAGTATTTCTCAAATTTCGAGCAGGTTCCTTCGGTGAAACTTGGTTGTCGTCGTGAGAGTAGCATCAGCACATTGAGGTACACAAACAAACTTTATGCTAGGCATTTTCGAAGTTATAAAAGAGGTTGTTTAGAGTTTGTTTGGCAATAGGCTCGCACGACTACTTGAATGATAACGAGACTGCCACAGATGTAGATGACTGATTACTCGAAGTGAGGGAATCGATTGAATGCTGTTAATGATTTTTGTAAAGATATATGGAAATGAACTGAATGCTAATTTAGAGATCCTCTGCTACCCAAGACGATAATTTTCAGAAAAATGCTGCCCGCAACGTTCTTCCTCATATTCGAGGAGTTGGAAAAGAAGGTACTGTAATCTGGGACTGTTGAATTTCTTCTAGAATGCTCCACGTAGTCGTAGACCCGTTTGGTTGTTCACAGGACTGACCTACTGGCCTATGGTGGTAAGATGCTCTCAATCGGGGACCCTGATCACCTATCCGTACTAAGCAAAACGCAAAATGTAGACAATTTTATGTATACTTAACATTAAACCAGAAACTCTATGTGTAGGGGCACCTGTGGTCACTGTAACAGTCCTCTGCCCCTTCCTTATAGGGTCAATTTATATGAGTCTGGGAAGGCTGCTTCAGAGTCGGACACGGGCAACATAAAAACACTGAAGTAGGCTTGGAACAATAGTCATCCTACTTTCTACAGTCGGCCGTGTGAAAAGAAAGGACTTTGCTGATCAACTACCAGTAACTGATTACTAGTTTATTGAATAGAATCGGTAACCAGATCGAAAAGGAGTTCATTGGAGGTTAGTAACTGATTACAACTTCTGGAGAGAGATCCTCAGACCAAACTCCTCGACTAGAACAATAGCGAAAGGCAATCGGTGATGAGTGTTGGTTTTTTCGCAGGTAGTGGAATTCGAATGGCCATTTTATACTGAGGAATAAATAATTACAATGTTTACCTCATAATGCATAACAATTGACAATAAGGAATGCTTTATCAAGAAGGAAATGAGGAAAAAGAACGTGTGGAAGGACATCAGTGACGAGTAAAGTGTTCCTGTGGGCAGTTGGGTACTGGTTCAACTCTTATCACCGCTGATAAGGACAAAACGAAAACGCAAACAGCATTGACGTAGCCGTCATCCCTCACTGGTACATGTAAAGGTAAGTAACTCAGACATAGTCCCGAACCAAACATACTTGGTAAGGGCGTGTTCGCACATAGAGCTAGCTCAACTGGAAGATGCCGATCAGTCAGTCTTTCTAAGAAGACCTTCGTTCATCACTGTGTACTTGAGAAAGCATCGCTCTCAGATGTCTATATCGAAATTCTATTCGGAAGGTTCTGCTGTAGTGAGCCTCAGTGCCCAGTCTCCGAGTATCCCGTGGAACTACCCGACCCGTTTGCGGGTCAGCTGATGTTCAAGTCAGTACTTTCATATTCCCAGACGAGTCTGCTACCATAACAGAGCTTGGCACTGGCCCACCTCCTTCTTATGTACCTTAAGACGATCTCATTTGTAGAAGATGGAAATCGCATATTGAGAAACTGGATTTCAGTGTGAGGACTAGTACGGGACACAAATTATCATCAGAAGCCGTGAACGTGGTTTTTCTCGAGTTTGGACGCAAGTTTAAGGCACACCCTAGTCAAATTCTCGAGCTTTTATCTTCTTTCCCTCTGAAGGGTTATTGTTATCAATGGGCACACTTTGAAAGATCTCCGCTATCGTGGAAATGCTGAGCGGAAGATTATCAACGTTAAGTAGACTGTCCCGCATTTTCATCAAATCGAAATGGCACGAATGCGAAGCGTAGCCCCATAGTTTCGGAAAATTTTCTAGGCAGTTCAAGTGTCTGCTGTTAAAAACTACCAAGATCAACGATTATGGAAAATGAATAGTAAAGAAGGAGTAACCACCTAAATCCGATCATTTTGTAGGGATTTCTTGCTTTTGAATTCTTGAATTATTTGTTTTTTACTCATTTACTTCTTATTAATTAGATTCGATCAAGTGATCTAATTAATCATTTGGGGTAAAGGTGGTGTAGTAGCATGCGCATTGTCGCATGCACTGTCTGGGGATCAAGTCTCAGTGCCGGTCAATTGATTCTGAACTTCGCTATAAGGATAAAAGCACTGACTGGTACATTATTTGGCGACCACAAGGTATAAATAGGCGACGTATGCACTCAATACACCTCTATGAATCTGAATAGATGTTGGTTACAGGGCGCATTCCAAAAGGAATTATTTGAAAGGCTGAAACACCCCTTTATCTTCTGGCCGTTTATATAATGCTTGAAGTGGTGCAGCTTGTTATATAATTTACTCAATGATTTGCGGAAGTTGTAAGTATCGTCAATGTAAATTACCGTTATGTTCCCTATTGAGATTTTTTCTTTCTTGAGAAACTCACCTTCTACTTCTTGCGATCAATGTCGAGAATCCTTTGTTAGAAACAAGTTGCACTACGCCATTATTTTAATTGTTTCCGAGCCTTAATATGTACTCTATTAGCCTACCCTTAGCCTTCCTGAAAGTAATACTAGTGTGTTAGGAGTTGTATTTTGGAAGGACTTGTACTGCTAGAAGCTTTTTTTAGTGATTTTATGCTTAACATGGTTTTCACAGATAGGAGAAGAGCCCATGTATTTGTGGTGCTTGTGGGGTAAAGCTATGGACAAAAAAGCATCCGCTCCAGGGGTAGTAAT